TCACTACAGTGCACAAGTGCACCAGCACTTCCACACTTCTTGTGAATGAGCCATCTGCCCGAATGGGAGACTGGCCAGTCCTTTTGTAGTCTTGGTTTGCACTTCAAGTCGTGCCAGCCTCTGTTTCTTGGGTCCTGACTGGTTCCGGTACCACATTCCCATCGCCTGTCTGCTTCTGAATGTCAAGGCCTGGAAGGTTGGAACCTTCCCGAATTTCCATTTGTCTGCTGCTGCTTGGGCCTTTGAGTCATGACTTTTCACTTGTAAACATGACTTTTGACTGTGGACTGTGACTCCTGCCTCTGGGACACGACTCTTGCCTGTGGAACTGCCGTTTTACTCGTGGGATGTGACTCTTCAATATGACTTTTCATTATGAGATGTGACTCTTGCCCCTAAGATGTGACTGTTTGCTGGGTGCCTGTTGGACTGGACTGCTGAAGTACCCAACTGTGACTTTTCTGAATTTGACGAACTTGGCCTCTCTTGACCAGGCCTCTGACCCGGAGACCCGAATTTGGGGCCAGAATCGTGGAAGGCCTTTCACCATCAAGCAATTCAACTACTTCACACTCTCTTTAATGATCATGGTCATGATTTAAAATTCAATTTGAGACAATTGCAAGGAAAATGAGTGAGAGCAATAGACATAAAAGGATGATAAAACCAAATTGCAACATCACGCCGAAGGCCAGAAAGTCGTGTACCAAGCAGAAAGCACAGTGCACCGATATACAAACCAAATAAGAGCAGTACAATGAACTCAAATGTCAATGTCGACACTTTCTCCCCACACCAACACTGTATCCAATGTTGACACTCCCGATTGGTGCTCAGCGCCCTGCCTATCCTTCTCAGCACTATACTAGCCTACACTACATATGTGCAACAGGAGTCACTTCCAGCCGAAGACCAATTTACGTGACGATGTCGCCAATGCAGACAGCCAGCATACACCAGGTATGTGGCTCTTCTCCCCTCTGCCTCACCCTAATCTCCCCACAGTGTACATCCCCGACACCCGAAGACCACCAACACCATCACCATCACGCACGCAAGCAGCCCGGCTATGGCCGCCGCGCGCCGGCTGCCTCTGCAGCGCCCCTCTCACCTCTCCGTGTGCGCCCTCTGGCTCCCAGCACCCAGGCAGCCTCTCTGTTCACAACGCAGCAGCGTGGCCGCCCAGCAGTGCAAGGCCAGAATGTGTCCTGGCCTGGGCTCTCACTTTCCTTTATGGAAAGCGAGCCCTGCCTCTGGCTGGGCTGGGATGGGCCTCGTGTGCAAGGGCCAAAGTGTTTGCGCCCAGGCCCATTTAGACAGTTGCCTGGGCCCACAGTATTGAGGCTGACCCAACTGTGCGACGTGGCTGCTGCATTCTCATTGGCCTTTGGGCCTCCAGCCACGTCGCTGCTTGTTTGTCATTGGCTGATAAGCCAGCTTCCACGTCTGGCCTGGAAGAGCCTAGAAGGCTCATGAAAGTTTCAGATGCTGGCGAGCAGGGCGTAGATAACCAAGTGGCACGTGGTAAGCGTCTGGCGCCCAATTATGCAGAAATGGCAAAAATGGGGGCCCACCGTACTTGCTGGGGGCCCCTTAGGCAGTGGCAGGCCGCGGCCAAGCGGCCCATGTGAGGGCTCATTCCACGCATTCTGTCCCCCTTAGCTTCGAAAGTCCAGTGAGATGATTCTACGCAGGTGCTTTCCCCTTAAACTTTCATTCATGCTCCGCAACGACTTGGGGTGCTGTCTTTGCCAGTTTCTCCTTCCTGAACCAACGGTCTTCATTTGGATCCGTGTGATGCCTGAATCTGACCCGGTACTCCCCTGCTGGCTTTGGCGGTCTTCGTCTGCCAACTGCCTTAGGAACAGGCAGATCTCGATGATCCACAATGTCGTCAATGCCCACGTGGCCATCCATGGTTGGGGGCAGCATTGATCTCCTTGATGGGAACTTATCAGTCTCAGTGAAAGGTTTATGCTTAGAAGCATGAAACACAGGGTAAGTGTTCAGGTGACCAGGGATTGTAATCACATAGGAGAGACAATCCGGGTCACTGCTCACAATATCTATGACTTCCCGAGGACCGAAATACTGACGCATTAGTTTTCTAGGGATGCCAAATTCCTGTCCTAACTCACTAGCCTTAACCCAGACTCGTTCTCCCTGAAATATGGACTGTCATCCGTGTCTGTACTCAGAGGCAATGATAGCCTCTTGGGATTTTCTGATGTGCTCGACAGCCTGCTACAGCAGCTTCTCATACTGGACACCAAATTCAATGGTTCCAGGAGTTGCAGCTGGTTGGTTTTCAGGAAGGAGAAAGTCAAATGCTGATCTAGGCTTTCAACCCAGGTGCAGCTCATTCGAAGAGACATCACTGTTTTCTCATCCCAGTCGTTCTGGTAGGGCTTGATGTAATGCCGCAGCAAGGGTTGTACCACGCTGTTCATCTGCTCCGCTTGCCCATTGGCTTCGGGGTGATTCCCTGAAGTCATTTGCAGTTGGCTGCCCATCTTCTCAGCCGCTTTCCTCCACATTTCACTGGTAGAACACACATCTCTATCATTAACAATAGACTTTGGTAGTCCAAAATCACGCACCCAGTTATCCATAAATAATTTGATGAAGGGTGCTCAGTCTTTGCTGTCTCTGGTATAACAAAGAGTCTAGCATATTTGGTGAATCGGTCTACTATTGCAAGGGAGATGAGCAATAGCGAACTTCAGCAATCAAACAGCATCATACATATGAGTCCAGATAGTCTTGACCTCTAACCAACAGCAGAATTGCATCACGAGATTCACCAAATAAGAACACACCAAGAGTTCATAATTGACAATGCTGAAATAGTCCCATCATCATCAACGAAGAACCA